GCCAGCGCCCCGCAGCGCCCAGGCCCCCGGGCTCCCGGCCGGGCCTTGACGAGGAGAACCCAGGCCTGGGGCTGATTGTGATTGGGTGAGTCTTGTCTGGGGGTGGGGGTGGGGGTGTGGAGTGGGGGTTGTGGGGGGCAGGTGAATCTTCTATCCTGTAATATCTTTTGGGCCAACGGCGTGATTTCTTCCTGCCTCCAATGCCTAATTCATCTGGTCTTTTTCCCTCCTCCATCCATGAAATCTCACACGCGGACAGACACATCAGGCCTTCCCAGAAGTTAAGCCCTGGCTGAGAGATTAGTGTCTTCCATATGAATTTTCTGGCAGTCCCCAGAGGCAGCCCGATTTATGGGAAAAGTACAGTGTAATCAACAGTCCACCCAGTAAACAAGCCTGGGTACCTACACGGCATTCAGAATGCTGCGCCCATTTCAGACCTCATTTCAATAGAATCACAAAATTGTGAAGGCTCTGATCACTGTTTAATACCTGAATCGCTACCAGATGGAGTGGCCGAAGTTTCTGGACTGTCAGGAGGCAAATTTTAAAACTTAAAATTGGTGATGCAGTCATATCTTTGCCAGCTGGAATGGGTCATAAGATTGGGACTCAGTTTTTAATGCAGTGTGGAGCTTGGGTAGTAGGTTCAGTAGTTGCACTGCAGTCTATCCTAAAGCCTGCATCAGCCTTAGATGTAAATTTAAGTTAGTGTTAAACGGTTAGACATTCTATCATATTCAATTTTTTAAAAAGATTTTTTTATTTAAGCATACAGAACTGGGGTACAGGCTAGAGATGTGGGAGATGAGAGGATTCACCAGAGACGGTGTGCGGAGCAGAACAGGCAGATATACTGACACACACTGCTGAGGGGAGCAGCAGGTGGGTCAGGAGAGGTCTGCCACACCATATGGGTCACCTGCCTGGCCAGGCATCAAATTTGTGCTGTGATAGCTTCATGATGCTACGCTTTAACCTGTTGCACCACCAGGGAGGGCCACCATATACTTTCTTAGACTGCATAGATTATATAGCTGTTGATAGTTAACAGGGAATTAAAGATGATCAGTGTTTCTGCATGAAATAACAGTACAGTGTGCATGACTAGAAGACAGACAACATAAGACAGAAAAAGAAAAGGCACATTTGTGGATTTGTTTCCCATTATAACTTGTGGTTCCTGGGGACACCCGGTCAGGCGTCCTGGGTCCTGGGACCAGCTTTCTATCTTCTTGGTGACCTTGGACCACTATTAAGGTAATGGCTTCACATTTCACTTCACAGTTCGAATTCTATGGTCAAAGCTCTATGTTATTAATATTGAGCTCTGAAGTTCCCCAGAACTGTTAAACATTAGGAAGTTATTTTGACTACAGGGAAGTAAATACTTTAAGAGGTTCATTGAAGGGACACTTTAATGATTAACATTAACTGTGCTACACCAGTGAAATTTCATCTTATTTAGAATTTAGAACATCTCTTTAGTTTTCCATTAATTTTAACATTTTAAAGCTCTCTAGGAATCCGGCTGCAGACCAAGCGTGAATACCAAACTAAAGCGAGTCATTTATGTGTTTCACTCATTTCTTTGTGTTTACTGATTCAAAGTCAGCCTGGAAGTATCCTTTTTGTTTTTTTGTTTGTTTGTTTGTTTGTTTTTTCTGGAAGGATGAATGGTTATTTTCCGAGATCAGATGATATCGGGCATGTTCAGGGTGGTCTGGTCTTAGACTGGGTGGTTATTTTCAAGTAAACAACGTCTGGTTAAAGGACAACTGGAACCTGAAACCCAGTCCATGTTTCACTTGCTAAGTCTTATGTTTTGAAATGAGTTTGTGTACTTCTAGCATTTAGGGAACTTTTATCAGACTGTCACAAAGAGTTGTCTATTTTCCCCAATTTACATAAAGGGAAAGGTAGGTTAATGGCTACCTGGACTCCAAGAAAAAGATGGTGATGTGCTAGACCTCAGTTTCTTCAATATATGTGAAGTTGGGGGAGGGAGTGTATTTAGGGAGACATGGAACAAGGACAGAAGCAGCTTTGTTCAAAAGGACATTTTACAAGTTTTAATGAATAAAATGATAATATTAAATTAGAGATGTTATTCATGTTTTATTATATATATACATTTCTTTTTCCAGGAGAGGACTGTCAGAGGGATGTGGAAAGCACAGCTTTACTGTGAAAAGCAAAGATCCGTTACCTACAGATTTTACAAGAAATGTGCAGAAAGCCATTGATAAATATACCTGGTAAGAATGACCTTGCTAAATGTTCTGATTGTAAGATGAAGACACGCCCATATCAAATAGGGCAAGCACAGTTATTGATTGGATATGAATTTCTAAAGTTATAAAGGCCCCTTTGTTTTTAGCTGAATGAAATGTTACATTGCAAAAATTATTTCAACACCAGTGTGCTATGTAATTAAACTTCCTTAAATGTTTAAATGGCTAAACAGGACCTGAAGGGGCGAGGTGACTCCGAGCCGTGCCCTGTAAGTGGTACTGATGTGACCCCCTTTATTCCCGCAGCACATCCGTGTCCTCTCTTTCATCAAGCGGCAGCCCCACGCCCACAGAAGCCCACAACTCTTGGTCTGGGACACAGAGTTCAACCACTGGCTTATCTACAGAGCCGAGCTCAGTTTACTCCTGGAGAGATGATGTAGGTCTCAGAATATTTTTGGCTAATTCTGGGGTTAGGCATTCTAATGAAGAATCAAAAAACTCACCTTACCCACATCAAGGCATTACCAGCTGTACACATGCATATACAAGCATTTCTATGTTACACATAGAAATTTAAAAATATAGAAAAGGTAGGAAAGTTCAGGATCACTGATGATCGCACAGCCCTGAGGCTCAGCTGTTGGTAATGTTGTTTTTACTACCTTCTAACCCTCCCCTCATTATGCTGTATATGATACTGTATGACTTTATGGCCTGCAATTCAGGACAGATTTTGACAATTACGATCCAATAAGAGAAAAAATTAATAAAGAAAAGTATAAGCAATCGTTGTTATTAGGAAGTTTCCCCTTGGTATTCTAATGAATATTTTACTTTTACCTCCTAAGCACATGCAGAAAGGCACAAAGATTTTCACTAACAGTTTGTTGCAGTCACATCCAAGAACTTAAGCTCAAGCAATAAAAATGAATACTCTGACCTCACATTTCTACATCTCTGGAGTAACTGAAGTTTCTTGTTATTGATTAAAAAAGGCAAATGACTCTTTCTAAGAAATTTCCTTTTCAGTGTTATCAGCCCAAGACAAAAAATAGTGTGTATATTATAGAGTTCCTTAGGTAGGTCAGGCCCAAATTATGAGATATTTGTCTGTGTGCACATATGTGCATATGTGTGTTCAGAAATGCATAGGTGTATATGTGTGTGTGTAGCTATATAATGTCTGTGACCACATGTATTCATATACATAGCTATATCTCTATGTATAAAAATAATTTTTAGAAATTATCACTACTTAACCATAAAGAAACTGAGACTGAGGCTGGAATATAATTTATCAGCAGAGTAAAACTTGGAGAATTGCTGTCTCTGATTACAAAGTCCACAGTCTTTTTCTCATGCCCTACTTTCCTTGAAGAGGCAACATTAATGATCAAGCCTCTGTTTTTACAAGGTTTAGAAACATTACGTTTAAACTTACGTTTAGACTTAATAACTAAGTGTGTGTTTCTGTTTCAGGACTTTGATAATGCCAGTGCACAGAAAGTACAGCAGTTGTTCTGGGAAGTGGAAGAAATGCTATTTGAAGGGACAGTAAGCCCTCAGACTCAGAATCTCCAAGCAGAATGCAGCGAGTGGGCGAAGAGATCCCTTCACCTGAGGTAAGGGAGTTCTACACAGTACTTCCCCGGAATGGGTGTTGAGACCACCCACTCCAGTTTTGACTGAAGACACTTGCTCATCAAAATACGCATCCAGAACACATATTTTCTATCGAGAAATCACTTCATTGGAAACCGTGTTTGAAAAATCATGAGGCATTCCAATACTCATCAGTTTAATTGGTAAGAAAATCTACCTCATCCCCAGAAAGACATTATATATGCAACAAATGCAGGAATGGGGGAAGTTATTCTTTACCTCACATTCACTAGTCCGTGGGCAGCAGTGTCTGTCCTCAGCATTGAGGAAAGAGTACAGGTTGTGAGACAGGAGAGAACAGAGTAACTACTGGCTGAATGAGTTGTGGACAGGTGAATCTTATCATCCACTAAGATTCCTTACATAAGGAAGGGTCTTCGTTTATCAAAGCTGGGGAATCTAGATTGGGTATTAAGGGAAGCTTTTCTTCCTTCAGTCACTCAGCTAAACCTCCATAGTTAGAAAATCTGTTTCAGTGGTTGGAAATTTCTGTGAGTTATGTCAAAAAAATTAGAATACTCATACTGATGGCAGATGGCTTTCCGGTCACCTCAGCAAGGTATTTTTTTTTAAAAATATCTTGAGTGGCCCTCCCTGGTGGCGCAGCGGGTTAAAGCACAGCACTGAGAATCTGAAGCCACTTCCGCATGAGTTCGATTCCCGCCTGCCGCATGCCCGGAGGAGACCACATGGCGAGCCAGACCTCTCCTGACCCGCCCGCTGCTTCCCTCAGCAGTGTACTTCGTAGATCTGCCTGTTCTGCTCCCCACTCTGTCTCTGGTGAGGCTTCTCACCGCCCCTGAGCCTCTGGCCTGTACCCCAGTTCTGTATGCACAAATAAATAAATCTAAAAAAAAAAAAAAAAAAAAAAAATATCTTGAGTGAGTAGGTTTTTTCATTGCTCATTTTCAGACCTTCCTAACCATTTTCTCCTGTAATGAGTATAAAATCACCACAAGATTGTCATCGTTCACGCTTACTCTTCTGGCATGGTGCATGCATTAAGAATCCAGGAACTCAGGCTAGTTCCTGGCACTGTTGACTTACATAATTAGGATAAAAATGAAGGAAGGGAGGTGGGAAAAGAAAAGATTGTAAGGAACATAAGCCAAGTACACAGACTGTCAAACTCTCTTCACAATGTACACATCAATCAACATTTATACATAATTTCTGTACCAACATTTCCTGAGATGTCCAAACCCATGTACATTATTCTAAGCTATTCATGGCTTCTATTAATATATGGTAAATATTATTTGATCTTGCAAACAAATAACACATGAGGACTTTGCTCCAAGTTTTTTTTTTTTTAAAAGATTTATTTATTCACATATATGGAACTAGGGTACAGGCCAGAGGTGCAGGGGCGGTGAGAGGATTCATCAGAGACAGCGTGGGAAGCAAAACAGGCCGATCAATAAAGTACACTGCTGAAGGGAGCAGCAGGCAGGTCAGGAGAGGTCTGCTGCGCCATGTGGGTCACCTCCGGGGCTGGGGATTGAACTTGCACTAAAGTGGCTGCTGCTAGCTTGCAGTGCTGTGCTCTAGTTCACTGCACCACCAGGAAGGGCCCTGCTCCAACTTTCGTAATTGATGGCCAGAAGAGTCTCTTCTATGCTTTTTCTGAGACTCTGTGATCGTCTCATGTACCAATATAAACCTTTTCACCTCACATGTGCCTTCAAAATATTTTTAAAGATTTATTTATTTATGAATACAAGAGCTGGGGTTAATCTGGAGGTGTAGGGGTGGAGGATAAGAGGATGTGAGGATTCACCAGAGACAGAGTGATGAGCAGAATAGGCAGATTGACGGAGGGACACTGCTGAGGGGAACAGTGGGTGAGTAGGAGATATCTGCTGCACCATGTGGGTCACCCCCCTGGCCGGACACTGAACCCTGGGTGCAGTAGCTGTGGACAGCCTCAAAGTTCTGTGTTTCAATTCGTTGCACCACCAGGAAGGACCCCTTCAAAATATTTTATTCTACTTTTAAATATTTTAAATGCCTTCCCTCCTTTCAATGCAGAATATTAGAAGCTTACTTTTTCCCTGTCTTTCAGAATCTTAGGAAAGCAGCTGTTGCTGCCCAGTGATGAAGGCTTCCAGCACTTCCCAGGCAGTGAGCCTCAGGCTGGAGCCCACAAAGCCTTCCCCAGTACCTGCCAGCGGAACAGCAACATCCGAGAGTAAGCGCCTCAAAGTTACTTTGGAGAAGCATTTTTAATTTCATTTTAGTTATTTTCATTTACGCTATTTGTTGCCTATCTCATCTTGGTCCCACCAATTGGAAAGTTTAGATTTTGGTGTAGAGCAGTTACAGAAATTTTTTTTCACATGCTGTTCCTGATTTTAAATTTGATGATCATGATCATGGTGTGTGCGCAAAATGTAAATATCAAGGTGTTAAATTGTTTCGAAGACTCAGTGAACAGCGGGCAGCTTCACTGTCATGTATCCTAAGCTCAGGGAGGAGGAGAAGGCTAGAACTCTAGCCCAGTTTCATTTGTTCATTAGCAGATTTTGATAAATCCATCAAAGCCATCCATACATTCTGGGGATGGGGCATTGACATCCCTTCATTCTGCAAAAGGGTATTCAACATTCAGGGCTTAAGAAGTCTTGAAAAAACTAACGATGATGGCGTTAAAATATTGCTTTTAAGGATATGAATTTTGCCTGAGGTAACTTTCAAAGACTTTTTATTCCAGATCTATAGTTTATGGGGCATTGAAAGAGTCACCTTGCTGTGCAAACATCAGCTTCTCGACACTGGCACACTTCATGTGGCATCTGCTTCTCCCACAGGTTGTGCATCTCCGGCTCCCATGTGGCTCCAGCCCCAGCCCTGCCAGGCCCAGGGTGTCTGGGAGCAGCTGACCTCATGACAAGCTCATCCCTAGAAGAAGAGGTGTATGATATGGATGGAAATATTGAAGAATATTTCGCTTTTGACAGAAAAGAAGAGTAAATGAAACTTCATTGCATTGACTGAATAATATGATAACATTTGACTTGTTTAGTGATTGTGTGCTCATTTCATTTTGTGTGTGTGAGTGTGTTTTTCACTTCTCCAAAAGATGAGCAGTATGCTTCCAGGGCTTTTAGGTCCCTGGCAGCAAGGGTATGCACTAGAGCAGAGCCTGCCTTTGCATCTGACCGCAGGCCATAGGTGGAGCGTGAGAATGGTGGTCAGGGGCTGGTGAAAGCAGACAGCGATGCTGGTGGCCTAGGCCCAGTGGCATCTATTTGCCTGTGTTGAAGGGCAAAGGTAGAGTGTTAAGTTTCTGTACTAAAAACATACTGGATTCCCAAAAGCTACAAATATTGTATAATAAAGATGTGCCTCATGATTATAAATAGGTTAAAAAATAGTGACCTGCTGCTTAAAAAAGATGCATTTTATGGGCCTGTGAATGCATAAAGACATCTGTGTGCGATAACAGCATTCTTTTGACTTTGACCATCGATGCTTTTTGTCGTTAGGGATAATGACTGTCTTGAACAAAAATCAGCTCAGCGCCACCGGACATGGACGTGGCCTAAGCACGGACTTCCTCCGGTTTCCCCTGATGACTGCATCAAAGATGCGATAGTGGCAGAAGTGTTTGATGACATCTGGACAAGTGTGGTAGAAATACTGGAAGAGCTGGTTAGAAAACACTGGGAAATGGCACTTACAGGTACCAGTAGGTAGCATTTGACCAACTGAAAAGTTAAAGCACCCTGTTCCACAGCTCCCTTCCCACACCTCTCCCTTCTGCCCTTTCCCCTTCTTCCCGTCCCTCCCCCTCCCCATCCCACTTCCAAACTCATCCTCTCTGAGCCAAACCTAGGACATGATCTTAGAAATGAGAGGGAAGTGAATTTTTTGCATCTATTACAAATTATTTTTTTAAAAGATTTATTTATGTATGCGTACAGAACTGGGGTATAGACCAGAGGTGCAGGGGCAGTGAGAGGATTCACCAAAGACAGAGTGGGGAGCAGAACAGACAGAATGACAAGTTCACTGCTGAGGGGGATCAGTGAGGGAGACAGGAGAGGTCTGCTGAGCCATGTGGGCCACTTCTGGGGCGGGGATCAAACTCACACTGAAGCCACTATGGCTTGCTTGCAGTGCTGTGCTTTAACCCATTGTGCCACCAGAGAGGCACCTAACAAATGATTTTTAAGTCAATTTAAAAGGATATTGTTATTTCCTGATTATAAAAATTATACATATGCACTTTGGGAAAAACAGAAATATTCAAAGAAAAAGCTAGAAGTCACTTTTTTTTTTATATTGTAGTAAAAAAAAACTTATCTAACTAATGGCTAACCATGTTATTGACTTTAAATTATTTATGATATTGTGAAGCAAAATATAAATATACTTAATAAAATATGTCAGTGGTAGACATTAATGGCTATTGTTATAGAATCATTTTATGCAATAGCACATTCTTTTTCCAGTCAAAACGATTAGTTGGAAGTTTGTACAATATCAGAAATTTTTCTGATCTTAATTTATAAGCACTGTTTCTCTACCTATGATTGAGTAATGGGCATTTTATTATGTGAGAGAAATAGTTTATCAGCCAGTTACTCCAGAGAGTCTTTGCTTGTCCAGAGGACATGCAGACTCTTAGTGATTCAAAAGCAAATGTTTTCTTTGAACAGTGACACTTAAGTTTATATATTAGATACTGTGATGTTTCTTAACAATACTGCTTTTTCTTTTGTTGACATATAAGGAAAGAAACAAAAACTGAAAGAAGCTGAGAATAAATCTCCCCATGTACTCAATTCCTGCATTAATGCTGATGTATCAAGCGTGCCCCCTTCCAGAAGTTCTGAAACTCGAAGCATAGCCCTGATTTCTCATCTTAATCCTCCGCAGGTACATGCTTGTCCACTAGTCTTTTTCCTTCAATCTTTATATTTCTGGCCTGTTTCTTAAGATTGACATTCTATTAAATGCTATTGGCAAGATATTTTTGGTTCGTTTGTTAATAAGACTAAGTATTCCATGGAGTTCAACAGATGCACCATGTCCTGTGATAAAGTTGGGGGCACTCTGAACTTGGGACTCTGTCTACTTACAGCTATAAGATTGTTTCCTAATTGCTGAAGAGGAAAAATGCTCGCTTCCAATATTTCTAGCCAACTTGAAGTTTGCAAATGTTCTCTTCTCCTTTTCCACCAGCCTGATAAAAGAATCAATCAGTAAATATTGGATTCCTGCAACATGTAGTGTGTTTATATTGAGTTACCTTTTTGGGTGTTCTGAGGCTTTGTGTGGGTGAATAAAGCATAGGCCCTGGCATAGTAGAATGAAAGGTGCAGTACATCAGAAAGTATATTCTGTGAGTCATGTGCAAAGATGAGAGTGTAAGATGTTAAGAGAGAATGATTTATCTCAATAGAGACTGAGATTGGAAGTGAAATTTGCACAGGAAACATGAAGAAATGAATAGAGCTTCATGGGTAGAAAGCCTACAGGGGTCACTTCAGGACAGGCAGCATGTAATAATCAAAACTGGGGCATGTTTTGCAACAGTGATTGGACTGAGGGATAAAGGACAGGACCCTGGCACCAGCAGAGACACAGTGGCAAGACAAGGGCCTTTAGAATCAAGAGACCTATGAGGGAAATTATTTTGGACATGTTATGAAAAATTTCAAAACTGTGGTTTCCTCATCTATAGAGTGAGGATAATATGTTATCCAAGGGACTGCAGTGAGGAGAGAATCAAAAACCTATAACAGCAGGTAACCTGGTATCCATCAGGCACCAAGAACATTTTTTCTTTAATTGTACCTTTACTCAAAGGTCTAGCAGTAGCGAGGATAAGGATACACCTGTTCATGAGGGAGCACTACTAAGGAGACTGTTCTCTGTAGTCTGCACACCCCATTCTTGTGAAAAGGAGAAAGGACAAAACAGAATTCCTGGGGTTGAAGCACATACTATTTAACTGGAGGAAGTCAAGTGATACTAAACAATTCCAAATGCCTGCACAGGCATGCGCATAGTGGGTCAGGTGAGCTGGGAGAGCTGAGTGGACTAGAATGTGAGCCTTGGGTGAGGACTCAGGGTAGACTCATAATTTTTTTTCAACAGTATAATAATTTACTTTTATATCATTTTGTGCCTTTTTCCATCTCAGCTGTAATCCCCGTGGGTTTCCTATCACCAAGTCACCCGTGTGCCATCACCATAGTCCAGTGAACTTCCCCCCCCCCAACCGTTTTTGATCCCATTCCCCAACTCTCATAATTTATTAGCCTCATTGAATCAGTCCTCATTGAAATCTCACTTTTGTTATTTGCAGGGTCATAAGCTAGGTCAGGTGAGAGTCAGAGAAGTCTTCAGATACATGCAGCACCGTGTAGACACTCAGGAGGGGTCAGCTTTTATTGTGTCAGATGCTTCTAGGCATCACTGTACAGTAGATTATCTGACATTGTATTTTGTACTATGATTAGCTGTCCCTTAGCTTAGAAATGCTGTGGGGTTTAGAAGAAAAAGAACTCAACCTTAAATGACAGGCAAGACTTAAGGGAAAAAGGGAAGGGAGAATATTCAAGGCAGATGCAAAAATAGGTGCAAATAAACAGAATATTGTGTGATCAAAAGCATAGGCTGTCCAGGTCCAGAGCACTAGAGGAGAGGAATATCCCAAGGGAATGTTTCACTCTTTAGTTAAAAAGCTTTATAACACACCTTTGCCTCTGCTGTTCAGAAGCAACTTCTGGATCTGCTACTGGTTCTTTTGTTTGTTTTTTCTCTCTTCAAACCACTCTAACTGATCCCCCCAGTTTTGTAATTTGCACATTGAAATATGCAATATGAAACACACAAAAAGAAAACACTTATGATATCACAGAAATAAGTATCAAGAAAAATGAAGCTGAAATATAAAGACATTTTAAAAGATAAGGTGTTGCATATAGTTGTTTTTTTTTTTTTTTTTTTTTTTTGGTGGCTGTTATCATTATTTCATTTGGAAAAGTACTGAGAGAAAGTATCAGGAGAACAAAGTTAAATCAAAAATAAAATTCTAAGAAGAATCAATTTTGAAATGGTCAGAGCATATTGTTGGTAATATTCACAGGCCTGACTTTATTCTTGTAAAATGTCTCTTTGTGCATATTCAACTTGGGGAAAATGTGACTGTGATTCCTACTTCTATTTCAAGCCAGACTAAAATTCTAGATTCAGAAATCCTGTTTGCCCAAATCTAAATACCATTTTACATACTTTCACCAGTGTGATCTAATTGCTCAAAACCACACTATGATGTCGGCATCGTTACCTACTTAAACATTAGGGAATTAGAATTCCAAGAACAAAGAAATCTTTCCATGATCACTGATCAGGAAGCAGTTAGAAGCAGGAATCCAATGAGACTGGAAGCCACTGAGATGTGGTGACTTCCCCAGACTACTCTGCTGGAGCTCAGAGGGCCAGCTGGGGAGATGGGGAAGGGGCAGAGTCCAGGCAAACAGCTGTTAGGAGCCACTTTCTTTGCTTCTCCAGATCCTTCTCTACCCTGCACCTGGTGAGCTTGGAGGCTGATACTCACCGGGCTCTGGGCCACCTATGCTTTGCCTGTCTTGCCCTGTTGCCTGGGAGGTCAGGGAGGCCTGGGGTATTGGTTTAGTTTTTATTGACCTCTCTGTCAGGGAACAGTTGGATGCTGTCCTTTCTCCATGCAGTTACAGTTCCAGAAACCAGAATCCCCTCCCTCATTTCAGTGGGTAATATGACCCCATGGGTACAAGCCCAGGAAAATACGAAGTATTTGCCTCTCTTCCCACGTCTTTGTCAGATACAGCCCCCATGACACTCCCTTAGCCAGCTTCAGTGTGACATTTGTCTCCTGCTGGTTCCTGACAGGCATCAGTACCTATAGTAACACGGCAGGCTTTTAATTTTAATTCTCCTTACTTTTCTCAGATCCATCGCTTCTCCAATAATTTTTGTAGCAACTTGAAAGGTGTGATGACAATTCAAGCAAAACCACTTCAGCAGAGACCTACATATTGTGCAGACAGGACGCAGTATGTATAAAACTCCCTACCTCTTGGCTCTGCGGGCACAGTGAAGGACCCACATCAGCAGAGGACCTGAGGGCATGGGGCTCCCATGAGCCCAGCCCCCAGGGGTCTGAGCACATGGTGGGGAGGAGGGGAGACAGTCAGTGTGAGAATAAAAACACTGTTCTAGTGTCAGCTATTACTCTAAGTTTGGAGCAAACGAGAAAAGGTGAAAATAGCTATAAAGTCTTAATCTTGTGCTGTTGACGGCTGGATTTCAGACAATAACATCCTTAGCATTTTTTTTTAATCCTGTGGCTTATTGTGCCTTAAAATTGAAATTGAGTGGTCTAGTGAAAATACATTGGGAGCTCTCCCTGGTGCACAAAGGGTTAAAGCAGGGTGAAGCTAGCCACAGCCGCTTCAGCATGCCAGTTCTATCCCCCACAGGGAGGTGACCCACATGGGGCAGTGTACTTCATCAATCTGCCTGTTCTGCCCCCCACTCTGTCTCTGGTGAATGCTCTCACCGCCCCTGCGCCTCTGGCCTGTATCCCAGTTCTGTATGCAAATGTAAATAAGTTAAAAAAAATAAATAAAAATGCACAGGGAATTGATTAGTCTGTCCATTCAGTTAACCAATAGTTCCCTCTGGTGTGCCCAGCAGTGCTCTAGACAGGCAAGTGTCCCGTCCCTGTTCTCAGAGCGCCTGGTTCCGAGTCTCTCACCTGACTTCCCTCGCCAGGAACGAGCAGGAGGACAGATCCCTGAGTGCAGGGGCCAGTGCTCTCTCCCTGCCCAGGCCGCGCCTGGGCCGACTCCCAGATCCTCGCGGTCCACAGACATCGGCCAAGAAAACACCCGTGCACAGGAGGCTGCCTTCACTTACTTCAGACTCACAGAGGATAAGGACCCCCAACGTGTACAGTGACGAAGTCCTCAGGGGTACAAAACTGTAAGTCTGTGTCTCTCAGGGTCAGCTGCAGCTGACAGTTCCCGGGGCCTGGGGTTGCCCCAGACAGAGCCTCCTCTGTCAGATCCACGAGGGCTCCTTCTAAGGGTCTCTGAGACTTAAGGCCTTTGTTCCAGTCATATACCGAGCAGTGTCCTAAAGGTCACGTGGGCCCGTGTCCTCATAGCACAGGCAAGAGAGGAAAAAAACCTCATGGTGCAGTGGCCACGGACGGGGCTCAGTGGGGGTCAGTGGTCTCTTCTGCATGGCTAGTCATTGGCCAATGATTCAAGGTGCCTCCCACACCCCTTCTGCTCCTGTTCTCACCCCTCCCTGTCCTGGGCCCGTGTCTTCTACCTTTTTTCATTATTGAGATGGTCAAGGTTTCTTTGGAACTATCTTTCCTAATTTTCCCCATCGCTTGAATTTTAATATAAATACACTGTACTGGCTCTGTACTATTTTTATATTGTGTTTTATACACGATAAGAGGAAGGTTTCTTGACCTGCTGGGAGCAGCGTGTAGTAACACCTCCGCTCTTGTGGGGGTGCCTGTCTCTCGTCCCTCTCATCTCTTATCTTCTCTCACCACGAACACAGCAGCTGTTTCTGGGCTTACTCCCATGAGTTTATTCATGCGCTTTCATTTTTAATGACATGACAATTTTTCTATTTCTCAGTGTGCTGCAAGCTCATTGTGGAACATTAGGGCCATGCGAAAGCTATGGGTAGAATCTAGTATGTGGTGGCCCTTATCTCATTAAATCTGTTAAAAATGTAAGAAAACGTGGTATTTCCATAATAGTAGGTCTCTTGTCAGAGAACACACTTTGCCTCTTTTTTAATGACATTTTTCCTTTTTATAACTTTACATAAAATTGTGGAGTTTCCTCATCTCAGTCCAGCACATTTATGATTGACTCTTCAACCATCATTCCATTCCTACAATGCTCTACAGCAAGGTGTGTTGACCCATATACCACAGAACTGTGTTAGATACCTCTTTGCACTGTTCTCCAAGTGCTTCGTGTGTTCTCATCTGGTCTGCAACAACCTCTAAGCATGTTAAGGGGAGGGAGTACGTACTGGAATAGTTCTGTGCCTCAGTTGCTGGCAGAGCTGAGCATCGGTAAGTTCAGGCGGAGAGTCTGCTACACAGGAAATAGGATTGGTGTTGGGTTCCCATGTTTGTCTTCCTGAAGCTCAGCTCATTCTATGTGAACACTTTTTTTTGGAAGCAATTTGTGATCTGTAGCTCATCTGGGAAGGTCACGGTCAGGTCTCTCCTCGGTCTGCACCAGGGTGCTCAGCCAGCTGTTGTTGTTTTCACAGGCAAACTGGCACAGACCTTCTGTCCTCCACACCAGTCCAAAGCTCACGGAACAGGTTACCCCCAATAGGGGCAGAGACCGGGGAGCAGAATGTGGCAGTTTCTGGATCTCGCCCTGTTTCTGTAAGACAGACTTCATGATACTTAAATGCACCTAGAGTCAGGTGGAGAACATACAGCAATAATACAATTTTGATATTTTAGGTGAAACTAGCCATATAGTAAAGCTCCATAAGTTGCTTCCTGAAAGTAAATGATTAGTAAGAATTTAAGGGGATGGAAGAGTCAATTCCCTGTATTGTGAAAAAAAAAAAAAAAATGACCTGAACTAACTTAGAAAATGCAGTTGTCAAGGCAACACCTGTTGGCCAACCTGGTCTGGGGTAATGAAGAAATACCAGAGGTTATGTCACGAGACAGGTAGATCCATGCTTGCTTGAACCATGCTACCCATACTCACTCTATGATTTGGTACAAATTAATCTCCCTTAATTTTCTAATTTTCAAAGGGCTGTAATGATTCCTACTTCAAAGAATTGTTATAAAGAAGTAACGCATGCATGGATATTTAACACTGCCTGGCAACATTAAGGGTTCAGTAAAATGCCCGTCATGTTTACCAGCTCTCATTTTTCCACCTGACTTGACCTGTGTTCCTGGCCATGTGGACCCAGAATCTGTTTCACACAGGATCATTCAGCTGTGAAGTGGCTGGAGGTCTGGGGAAGGTCCTTGGCTAGTATTAAGTGTAGCCAGTTTCCCTCTGGATTTACAATTCCTCTCTTTATGCTGCTGCGAGGGACCTGTGTCCATTTTACAAATGACACAAGGACCCCAAGTGTGGGGACTTAGAGGAAGTGACTGTGGCAGTGTTTTCTCTTGACTTCCTCTGCCTCTTTGACCACAGCAAAGTCCTCAGACCCAAAAGTCAGGAGTCACAAGGCTCAGTGTTTATGTGGGTGAGAGTCTGCCTTAACACCTTAATGATGAAGCTAGTGATTAAGGAGGGCACACATTTCATCAAGAAGTCTGATGCATCACAAATACAAAGTTATTTCTATGATAATTTAATGTTAGGAAGTTTATGTGGCTAAGGTTATCATTATCCTTTTATCACACTACCATTGTTTCAGGTTTAAAAAATATGATGTCATTCAAATATATTTGGATATTTATGCTTTGTAAACTTTTTTGGTAATATTTAAATAAAACTTTCAAGTTAGCAAGTGATTAAGTAAGTGCATGAGAGAAGCATACCTAGATGTTGCTGTCTTTCAAAGATTGTATTCCTTTTAACGAGAACGTCTTATCATTCATTTAGTACAGAGGAAGGCACCCACAAAACCGTGTGTTAAGTGCCATACCTGATAGCATAGAACGATCACCCCTTCGAGAAAGAACTCTGACCATGGAACAGTTTTCAAGGCCTAACACAACCCATACATTTCGGGTAAGTTCTTTGTTAACTACAACTGTGATTTCTAAAGTTCTTCGACACAATCAAACTCAATCCTCATTTTTTCCCTACTAGTCAGAGACACCTCGAAAAAGCTCACTGACTCAGATGGACTTTGCTGGCCACACATGGACAGGGCAAAGTTTTGTGACAGGTCAGTGCTCTCCATCAAAATTTACAATGATAAGACTGTTACATTGATAAGACTGTTTTACCAGGTAAGAGGAATACCAAGTGTCTGTGGCCTGTGATGAGACCTCACAGCAAAACTGCAGAGACAAGCGCTTACCTGTTATTGGTGTTAAAAAGGAAAATGCCTGAAGCTCCTATTCAACTTAGGGCCTCTCTCATAAAAATAGTGAAAGAAAATGCTTTCTTAGGACTCTCAAGAAATCACTGCACACTCTCTCTCAGCTACCATGTATTCATGTTTCCCTGCTGAATGGAACTCAATTCACTTTGCTTTAATTATAATGATGTTTCATACAGTTAATAGCTATCCTAATGGTTTTATGATGAAAGGCTTACAGATCAATACACTGAAAAATTTTTAATGAGTCATCGTCAGTTTACTATTTCTTCCTGATTCAATCTTAGAAATTTGTATCCTAAGAATGTGTTCATTTCTTCTAGACTTTATAGTTTGTTGGCATCAAGGTGTTCATAAGTCTCTTATGAGACCTTGTATTTCTGAGGTATCTTGTAACTTCTCCATTTCCCATACTGTTTATTACAATTTCCCCCCATTTTCTTTGTGAATCTTGCTAAAGATTTGTCTTTTTGTTATTTTTTTCAAAATAAATTAAAAAAAACACCAGCTTTTGGTTTCATGGATACTTTTGAACAGTTTTTTGTCTTCTATTTCATTTATTTCTGAAATAACAATTATTTGCTCTTCTGCTGACTTTAAAAAGAAGCTGCCAAAGTATGTATTTGTGTGTGTGTGTGTATATGTATGTTTGTATCTACCTGCCTGTGTTAAAATAAGATATTTTAGCCTAAATGAGATATAGACCTTAGCAAATAATGCTTATGTTAAGAATAGTATTTTTAAATGCATTAAGTAAAACTTAGGCAGTGCTTTTGTACTAATAATCTGCTTTGATACATAAGTCTTAGCTGCTCTATTGACAAAGGCCAAGGGATGACTGCTGTGTAGATAAATAGCTCTTCCTGCGGCCACCTCAGTTGCTCTGTGCCGCCAAGGCCATTCACACATCCCTCCCACTCTTCTGTCTCTGCCCAAGACTGTGCCAGAAATAGGCCAGGCAGTGCTGGCTAACAGCCCAGTGATTCTCAGAGAACCTTGCTTCCCCTGAAAGAAGGGATTGTAGCAACTTAGTTTCAGAGGTGTTACCACAGCATGCTAAGTGCAAAGTTCTGATAGGTTCAGCAACTGGAGGAAAGGGCAGGACAGAGAACTGGGCTCTGAATTTGTTTTAAAACTATACTCTTGGCCCTCCCTGGTGGCACAGTGGGTTAAAGCACGGCACTAAGAAGCTAAAGCCACTTCAGCATGAGTTCCATACCTGCCTGTCCCCGGGGTGACCCACATGGTGCGGTAGACCTCTCCTGACGCTGACTGTTCCTCTCAGTCAGCCTGTTCTACTCCCCTCTCTGTCTCTGGTGAAACCTCTCACTGCCCCTGCACCTGTGGCTTGTGCCCCAGTTCTGTATGCATAAATAAATAAATCTTAAAAAAAAAAAAACAACCATACTCTTAATTCCCCCCAAACACTAGGGCAGTGTATAAATGACTATTATTACTATTACTGATGGTGGGAGGAAATCTTGTTCGTTTTTGCAGAAATGATTCAGGGTGCAGGAGATTTTCCTACATTTCCTCATTTTTCTGATGTATGTTGCCACACCATACCCAGCACCAAGGCACCCACAGTACTCCACCATAGTCCACTGTGCCCTATCCCACTATCTGATAGCCTCAATTCTCCAAGTTTCCTGGGTTTGTTTTTGGTTTGACTTTATCTGACATTTTGTTTTTCTCTCTAGCCCACATATAAGTGATACCATCAGTATTTGTCCTTCTCCTTTTGACTTGCTCACTTAGCATAATCAATGCCACTTGTTGCACATAGCAAGAACTCTTTGAACTCCAAGTTAAAGGTGCCAACTATTAAGTCATCACTATTTATTCTGTGGCAGGAAGGAAAAGAAAGGAAGGCTTGTCACTCACTGTGGGAAGGATCTCTTAGGCGCCTGGCTTTATTTCTGCCTCTGAGAAGTTACAGGGCTTCAGAGCACCCCATTCAGCATGTGGGTGTCAGGGATCTACCTCTGGGAAAATGTTCTTGGCAGACAAATGGGCTTGCTGGGGGATTTCAGGGTGGGGGGATGGGTAGGGAAGGGGGGAACCCTTCCTTTTTCCCAGGCTCAAATGACAGTTTTGCATATGACTGCCTCCAGCTTTATATTAAAGTGATATTTTTTAAAATAACGTTTGTTCACAAGTGTCAGCTGCACTAATGTACAAAGCAAATCTTTGAGAGTTGGAATTTTTCACATTTTGATGATCATGACTTTTTGGTTGGTGTTTCAGGTTCACAATATCAGCTCAAATCTTTCCAGAGGACAACTGTGACTTCCAGAAAGAGATTCCAAGTGGCATCCTGACAGTCTTTCACTAAAAAAACAGCACTTGCTGGGACATTCAAAGCCCTGACACACCGTTTGTCACTTTAAAGCAACAAGTATTATAGTATGTATGGGTTTCTCTGAGAGTCTGAGATGTTAAGGCTATGAGAAAAACACAAACAAATAAACAACTGAATTGTGAATACTTTGCATCCTCAAGAGACTACAAATGGATCTCACCAACTTTTTGTGGAAGATTTCCCCCACATTCAGAAGACCCTAACGTGTTTATTTGTCATCATTTCAGCAACTGTATACACACACACACACACACACACACAACTTGTGGCTGTATCCACACCTACTTAATATTCAAGAGTACATTATCTAGGAATATACCATTTGGTAACTCTATCTATACACCATTTTTTTGTGTGTGTCTCATTCTATTATTAATTCCATAAAATTCCTCCCTACTAATAGATGATACTCTCCGCATTAGAAACTAGTCATCTTCAGTATGTCAGTTCCATTAAACTGAGCAGTTTCCTATACATGTTTGTTTTTTTCTTTTAATAGAACTGGGGTACAGGCCAGAGATGCAAGGGCAATGAGAGGATTCACCAGAGACAGAGTGGGGAACAGAACAGGCTGACAAATACATTGCTGAGGGGAGCAGTGGGTAGGTCAGGAGAGGTCTGCCACGCCATGTGGGTTACCTCCGGGGCAGGGATGAAACTCATGCTGTGCTTTAACCCACTGCATCACCAGGGAGGACCTTCTATGTAATTTTAAAAAGTGCTTGAGCCATGAACTTCTTTGAGGAACATCAATGGCTAAGTCTCCCAGTGCAATTGCTTTGTTTTCATGTTCAAATTCAGGCAATTTTTAAAAGTATTCCACATTGATTTCTGGAACTCCATATAAATTGAGATAAAACATATGGCATGTGGTTTCTGATGTTTACAGTAGACATGTTCATTCACTGGGGAAGTCTTCCAGAAGCATCTTTCTGATGCTCACAATCTGCTCCAACATCACCTCGGCCTTCCCTATGCCGATGTCTAAAGCAGCAGCTCCCTCCTCTGTCCCCTGACTCTGGTTCACTTTTCTTGAGTACATGTATCCCCTCAGGTATGAGAAGCAAGTGGAGCAGACCCCTGAGAGAGCCATCATCAGCCAGAGGGTAGCCTCCAGGTTCATTTTTCATCTGTACCCAGCCCCTAATGGTTCCAGTGCTTCAATTCATTTTGATTCTCACATCCCAAGTCACCATAATTTCTTCTTTTCTATTAGATAATTACATTTTATCCATTCAATTTTATTAACTCAAAATGAAACTTTATTGTCATATCAGTATATAATACTTCTTAGACATATTGCCAGCTTTAAGAGAATTTTGATTTTGTTCTTTTACCTACTTAAGATGCTGGGAATCACAGAGTATGTGTGGACCTAGATTAGTGCTTACACAGCAGCAAAACTAAAACAAACACAGCGCTTAGGCTCCGGCTGGACATTTCTCAGCCACCTGATCTCTACTGCATTGTCCACAGAATGTGACCCGGGGAGGCACGGGAGAGGTGGGATGGTCACTCACCTCATTTGGAAAGCCCAGCTTCATGACTCTCGGTAAAATTCCTAGGGCTCTGTCACCCACACAAAGTAGGCCAAGCATTTTGAGAATTTTCTAAATAATCCCTACACTTGACAAAAATTTGCAACTGAAAATATCAGTGCTCCTGTATGGAAATGTTAAGAATTTCTAGGTGTGAGCATTTTGGATCCCTTGTTTTTCAGGATTCTAGTTGGGTGCTTTCTGGTCCATAATTACAGCTAATGTACCATTTCCCACCTCTCTGCTCCTCGAACCTGATTCAGAGCCCAGAAACCACCCACTCCTGCCCCAACCAGCCCCGACTTCTCAAGAAGGAAAATGCCTGATAGTATTCTAAATTAACCTTAAGGTAGAATAGCCAAGATAAATTATTGTTTATAGAGAATCACTGACCAGATACTATGTCGGCTTCACTTTATTTGACTTGCATATTTTGCAAGTACGAATGTTATTTATGTGTGTTGCTAAGAATGCTTGAAAGAAACCATTGTCTTCACATTTTTTAAACATTTTTGATAGAAAATGAATTATTTTACTGTATTATTGAAGCAACGATAGTTTACAATCTTTAAATGATTCAGGGGGACAGGCTACCACCCCTCAGATGTGTACCACCACACCCCACTCCCACCACCAGGCACCCATTGGCCTTTATCATGTTTCATTGCTCCCTAATTGTTCCAAACATTTCTAGTTTGGGTCTGGTTTAGCCAGTCAGTTCCTTTACTTTGTTTCTCTATATTCCACAAATGAGTGACATCATCTGGTCTCCGTCTTCCTCCTTCTGCCTTATTTCAAAACCCCTCCAGTTCCATCCACGCTGTCCCAAATAGCAAGTGTTCATCTTTTTTTCATCTTTTTGTAGCGGATCCATCCTGTGTATGTACCACATGGTCTTTTACTGCTATTCATCTTCGATTGTTTCCATAGCTCGGCTGCTATGGAACACAGGACTGCATATATCCCTTCTAATTGGTGATTCTGCATTCTTGGGCACTTACTCAGGGTGGAGTTGCTGGATCATATGGCAACTCTATTTTTAATATTTTTAGAGACCTCCATTTTCCATGGGCTGGCCACCGCATCTTCCCAGCAACAGCGTAGGAGACTTGCTTTTCCTCTGCACCCTTGCCAACATTTACTGTTTCTGAGCTTTTTGATGTGGAGTCATTTGCACTGGGGTGAGGTGGTAACTCCTTCTGGTTTTGATTTGTATTTCCTTCATGATGAATGGTTTGGAATAATTTTTCATATGTCTGTAGGTCATTTATATGTCTTCTTTGAAGAAGTGTCCTCTTAGCACTTCTGCCTATGTTAAACTGGGGTTTGTTTTCTTTTTATTAAGTTGTATTAGTTCTTTGTAGATTATGTATATTAATCCCTTGTCAAATGCTGTTTAATGATAGTTGTTTTTTTTTTTAGATCTATTTATGCATACAGAACTGGGGTACAGGCCAGAGGTGCAGGGGCCGTGAGAGAATTCAGCAGAGACAGAGTGGGGAGCAGAACAGGCAGATTGAGGAAGTACACTGCTGAGGGGAGCAGCAGCGTGCGAGACCGGAGAGGTTTGCTGCACCATGTGGGTCACCTCGGGACCGGGGATAGAACTTGCACTGAAGCACCACAGATAGCTTGCAGTGCTGTGTCCTAACCTACTGCGCCCCCAGGGAGGGCCCAATGAGAGTTTCTTTCATGATGCAAAAGCTTTTTAGTTTACTATAATCTCATTTGTTTATCTTTGCTTTTCTTTTTGTTTCTTTGAGTTGAGTCCCCAAAGACACCACTGAAGCTACTGTTATAATTGTTCTGCTTATGTTTTCATCTATGTATTTTATGGTTTCTGGTTTTACACCTAAGTCTTTAACCCACATTACAGCTAATATACCATTTCCCACCTCTCTGCTCTTTCATCCCCATTCAGACTGCTGTCTTACATCACACAGCATAAGACAGAAACAAGCACAGAGCTTGTGAGCATTTTCTTGTGCATGTTTTGAAGGTTTAGTTTTATTTTTCTGAATATGGCTGACTAGTTTTCCCAACACTATTTGAAGAGACCCTCCTTTCTGTATTGTATATTCTTGGTGACCTTGTCATAGATTAACATCCAGTTAAATTATCCATATAAATTTGGGTTTATTTCTCAGATCTTAATTATATTCCATTGGTTTCTGTGTATTTTATTCCAAAAGCATAGCTAAGACTTCCAGCTTTTGATTTCACTGATCTTTTGAACTCTTTGTAACATTGATTTCATATATTTCTGAGACAACATATGGATTAAGCTTTTCCACTGACTTTAAAACAAAGTTGTCAAAGATATATTTTTAAGTCTTTTATAAAGACAATGTTCTGTTTTAATATAAATGATATTTAAATGTTAGTTAATAATGCTTAAACCAACAATGGTGCTTTTTAATTGGATTAGGTTAAAAGCAGGACAATGGTTTCGTAATAACTTTTTTGGATAAATGAGTCTTGTTTTAGAGTTCTCTATTGGAAAAGTAAAATTAAAGTACTCTTAAGTCAATTTTTCAACTATGTTTAGAGTTACATTAATATAAATGTATCTCTCTCAGTTTATCAAAAACCAAGAAGTAATTTAAAAATGAAACAATAACATAATACAACATAGAAAAAGGCTAGGTTTTATAAACCTAATATAAAAATAAATATTGCTATTGATGTTATTCTGAATTAGAATTCAATTTCTATACTAATTAAAAAGTACATTTTTATAATGATGTGGGTTTTATATTTTTATTGTCATTGTTTTCTTATGATACATATCCTTGTCTGGTAATTTTAATTTCTAATAAAATATAAGTGTTGAGTTTTCAAAACTTCCTTAATTCATAAATCTTCCTTAGATTCTCAATCACAATCAAATTTTGGTTAGGGAAGTATGTATGTATAATGTGTGTGTGTTATTCTAAAATGTATACAATAGACAATGAGTGAAAAGCAGCAAGATAGTCTTAGAAAAGCAAGTTGGATAAACTACACGAAAATACCAAGACAGACCAAATTATAGCAACAACACATTATTAATGGCACAATGATTGACAAAGAAGAACCAATTGACCTAGGTATGCTTGCAGCCACCTGGTTTCTGATACTGTGCTGTTCCAATACGTTGAGAAAAAGATAATCTCATCATTAAATTATGTTAAATTAATTGGGTATTCATGATTTAAAAAACGGTATGTTTAACCCTACCTCACAACCACTACGGGAGCACAAATCTTAGGGATGCTTCTTAGATCTAAATAAAAGTCCTAGAAAATAACCTGAAAGATTAATTTTTACCTTATGGTACTAAATAGGAAACAAAAGTTATTAATTAACAACTAGATATTTTCATTAAAATGTAAACAAATCCCATTCATCCAAAGATGTGAAGAGGGTGATCATACAAACTAATTTCAAACTTCGATATTGATACTTGCACATTACTTCGATATTCCTAGTTCTAAAGAGAGGCCCAGACTCTACTAATAGTAAACACTCAAATGCATGTGCCACACACACACAGACACACACTTAGGAAAGATAAATGAAAACAAGATATTTACCAGTTTTGGTTGCATTAGCGAGTGTCGGCCATCCTGGTGGGGGAGGGGGTAGCAAGTTCCCATCTGGGCTGATGGCGCACGTGAAGCGGGGCCCTGGTCCTGGCCATGGAAGCTGGAGGGGCCGCTGGGTCACCGCCACCACGGCCGCCCAAGGTGGGAGTGTCCCTGGGACCCGGTGTCGCCTCGGGATTTGTCAGGTGACCCCTGGTGTTGCTGGTGCTGCAGCTGCCCCTTTAACTGGAGTTTTAAAAACCGCGTCCACGGCTTCATTCTTAGTTCATTCAGAATTAGCCCTTCATTCTGTCTGTATCCTTCACTGCAGCAGTTGCATCCACTCGTCAGCCTGCTTTCTGCTGAGCTTCGTTCTCTCCGTGCATCTGTGTTGGCGAAAATGGCCGCAGGTCTAACTTCTGGGAGCCTCAGGCACATGGATACTTGGAGGCGGTGCACGCTCAGTTTCAGCAGCTCCCTCCTCTCTCAGCTCAGTGAGGTCCCCACGTGATTTCAGGAACTGCACCCCCTCTTCTCCATTTCTGTCACTGATCTGCCTGGTGAGGGCGCCCAGCAATCCCAGCACTTTGCTGGTGGCTTCTCCATCCCAGCGGTGCGCTTTGCATTCTGGGTAGATTTCATGCAGAATTGGAAACAAGTGTGGAGCTTGTCCCGCCTGGCCTTGCCTCGACCAGATTTTCAGTATCATTCGTGATATGCTGGCCACACCGAACTTCCCTTCCAGCAAACTTCCCTATACCGGGTTTGCCCTTGCTCTGACACACCAACCCAGAGGTTGAATCACACCGGAAGTGTCTGGAGGCACAAACTTGACTTGAACAGTAGTTGTGAGGTCATGCATGCTGGCTGCGTGAAGGAGCAACATTTTACTTTGAGGTTCTTGGTCCCACAATATGCTTGGTGTCTGGGCAGAAATAGCAAGTGATAATAATAAAACCTGTTCTTTTGCTCTGCCTAGGTCCCTACTCTGTCGCTTGTTCTTTTGTTCTCCAGGTATATATGCTGATACTTTTATTCTTTCTTTCAGCAATACATGTGGACAGGAATCCTATAGCGTTATCTGGCTTATTCCCATGTAATATTTTTTTAAAGATATTATTTATTTATTCATACAGAACTGGGGTACAGGCCAGAGGGGCGGTGAGAGGATTCACCAGAGACAGAGCAGGGAGCAGAACAGGCTGACTGATGAAGTACACTGCTGAGGGGAGCAGCGGGCGGGTCAGGAGAGGTGTGCCACGCCATGTGGTCACCTCTGGGGCAGGCGGGGATCAACTCTTCAAAAGCGGCTTTAGCTTCTCAGTGCTGTACTTTAATCCACCGCGCCACGAGGGAGGGCCCCCATGTAATATTTTTTTTTTAAAGATTTATTTATTTGTGGGTACAGAACTGGGGTACACGCCTCTCAGGGGCGGTGAGAGGCTTCACCAGAGACAGAGTGGGGAACAGAACAGGCAGATAGACGAAGTACACTGCTGAGGGGAGCAGCCGGCGGGTCAGGAGAGGTCTGACCACACCATGTGGTCACTCCAGGGCAGGCGGGAATCGAACTCATGCCGAAGCAGCTTTAGATTCTCAATGCTGTGCTTTAACCCGCTGCGTCACCAGAGAGGGCCCCATGTAATATTTTTAAATGTTAGTACAACTGAAGTTATAAACTTCTGTGCCATATTCCTTATACTATATACAGCTGGTATATACAATTGCCTTGTGTATATTAACTTGGCATCTTGGCAGCTGAAATAACTAGCTGACGGCTAATTATATAACTAGCTTGGCAGCTGGAATAACTAGCTGGTTTCTAGTGCTAGAAGTTTTGTTGATGATTTTTGGTAGATCATGTTGGATTTTTGACATGGACAATTATGTCATCTTCATATAAAGTTTTTCTTCCTCAGCTTTGGCTTGAGCCTCAACCAACAGAAAGGTGAGAGAGAGTGACCCTTCATCACTCCTGATGTCTCACATCAGAAGCTTGACCAACCAAGGAGGAAAAGTCAGATGAGCTTGCATTGCAGAGCTAGTTTTTCTTTTTAGAAATATAAGTTCATTCAGACATTCATTTCCAAGAAAGACCTGTCTCATATACACTAAATGTTTCCTGAACAGTGTATCTTCCATCCTGATTAGCATTTTGCAGTAAAGCTGGCTTTCCTGTCAGCTGTGGCTTCCTTTGTCAGTATTTGCATATCGCCTGTTACTTGTATGTCATATGCTGTTCTGACCATTTCCATAAATGCTCAAGGCAACCACACCTTGCCAAGAATGTTCATATTCAGCTAGAACCCTGTTTTTCCTTTAGATTTTTAGTAAACTGAAAGCTTTCATTTATACGGCCATTATCAAACATGGGCCCTCCCTGATGTGTGTGCTGCTTCCAGGCATATAAGTCTGTCTGTACTTCCCAGTATCCCACTTCTACTCCATGTTAATTTTGAGTCACCTTTTTTTTTTTTTTTTAAAGATTTATTTATTTGTACATACAGAACTGGGGTACAGGCCAGAGGCTCAGGGGCGGTGAGAGGCTTCACCAGAGACAGAGTGGGGAGCAGAACAGGCGGATCTATGAAGTTCACTGCTTAGGGAGCAGCGGGGAGGCCAGGAGAGGTCTGCCACACCATGTGGTCTCCTCCGGGGCAGGCGGGAATCGAACTAATGGGGAAGCGGTTTTAGATTCTCAGTGCTGTGCTTTAACCCACTGCGCCACCAGGGAGCCTTGAGTCACCTTTTAAACACAAATTTTGACCTTTCCAGCATACTGTGAAAAGTTCTTAAAGTTGTAGGTAAGAGCGAAAGCTTTTCCAGTAGCTATGCCTTCCTGTCCATAACCAAACCTCTTTAAAAACTCGAGTTTTTCTATCCACTGTCACACTTCTCTGTGTGTGCCACAGAAAGCCTGGGGCACAGTCGTCCTATCATACTCCCTGTAACAGTGTTAACTCAGAGAACAAATGTTCGAAAGCCAAAACTGTAAGGAATGTCTTTCCCCTTCTCACAGGTGAAAAACAAGCAACCACAGGTATGGCAGACTCACTGAGTGCTTTTATAACACTGTTTAATGCTGTGCATTTGTGCAACTATCGGACTCTTATGCACATTAATTTTTTTTTAAAGATTTACTTATTTATGCATACAGAACTGGGGTACAGGCCAGAGGTTCAGGGGCGGCGAGAGGCTTCACTGGAGACAGAGTGGGGAGCAGAACAGGCAGATCGACAAAGTACACTGCTTAGGGGAGCAGCGGGCGGGTCAGGAGAGGTCTGCCACGCCACGTGGTCACCTCCGGGGCAGGCGGGAATCAAACTAATGGGGAAGCGGCTTTAGCTTCTCAGTGCTGTGCTTTAACCCTCTGCGCCACCAGGGAGGGCCATGCACGTTAATTTTTATTTTAAAATGATTTTAATCACTCACTCATTTTTCTATTTACTCATTCCACTTTGGGGTCCCAGGTGACCAAAGCTTATCCTGGCAATTCAATGCAGGACAGAATGCCCTTCCTTCACAGGTTGCAAACCCACCCCCCTTCATACACACACACACACACACACACACACACACACCCACACCCAGACTCCAGTGGGACAATTGAGACAGTAATGAAACACATGTGTGCCCTTTGGTGATGTGGGAAGAATCCAGGATACCGAGAGAAAACCCACACAGACCAGGGTGATCATGTAAACTGATCATGTAAACTGCCTGCAAACAGTGGCCTGAGTTGGAAGTCTTCCCCCCAACCCATAAATATTATGGCAAAATGATATTGAATGACGTGGTGTAATTGGAGAATTTGTATTGTTTTACCCAGAGATTAGTAGAAAGTGCAATACACATAATTCTTATTTTATAACTGTAATTGACTATCTACCTCAGCCTCAATCCTTTGGAGGATCGAGTGAAAACTAAAGCCTGTGAGATATACTAAGAGTGAATGCATTTATTTGTAAAGTCTCAAAGAGATTAAACAATATAGAAATGAACACAACAAGAAGCATAACTTCTCGTTCCCAATCCATCAAGCTGATCGGTATTTTCTTTCCAGACACTGGTCCTACTGTAGTGAACGGAGGGTTTCTCCCTAAATGGCATTATATTTTGTACTCTGTTCTGCAACTTGTTTTATTTTTCACTTAACTTTCATGAATCTCTTTCCATGTCTTCATACACAGAGACATTAAAAAATACTCAGATGCAGCAAAGCCTTAGGCCACGTTTTTCCTCACATCAAAAAGGCCCTCCAGGTGGCTCTGGGAAGCTCACACATTAGCTGCAAATAAAGGGAAACAAATTAAGCCAAGCAGGAATCCAGGTCACCTCTCGCTATGTCATCTCCCTGACATGCCCCCATGACTCTGAGCCGTGACTCTGAGAGGGACACTCTTACCCTGTCCAGTGTAGACAGGGACCCTGGGTCAGGATTGGGGGACATCTACCTGGAGAAAAGAGAAATTGTGAGAAAGTGAGCAGAGCCTTGGGCAGAATTGGGGCGCCCCTCTCACTGCCCTCCCTTCTCCTTGGGCAGGCCCCGGGTCTGTCTGGTTCCCTTTGTGAGGTCCCGGTAAGTACTGTCTCCTCAGACCCTCCTTTCCCAGCATCTCCTTCCTGTCTGCATTTGCTGACCTAATCCTTCATCCTCTTCTACCTGTCAACTCCCCTGTTCTCTTCAGTGTTGGTTCTTCTTGGTCCAGAGGACATTTGGGAAAATATTTGGAGCGTGACCATCTTAGCCAGCCCTCCAGTGTCTCAGCTGCCTGAGTCAAACTGAGTCAAAAGGTGCCCCGAAAGTTGTGCCTCAAATCTTCTCTAGAGCCAACAAGCAGCTGCCCTAATCGACCCTCCTTCAGAAGCCAGGCTGTGCCTCCCCTGCAGGCAGGCAGCCAGTCCAGCTGAGGACAGAAACACCCTAAGTTGCGCAAAGAAGCTTGTGATTATGTACCCGGCCAGGAAGAGTAAGTTCCAAACACTGAATTGCACGCCACAAGTCTCTTTATTTCATTTTAAGTAAACACAGTGCACTTCAGTGCACCCAGCCACGTGCCTGCCCTGGGGGCGGAGGTGGAAGCAGCCTGGGGTCATCTCTTCCCACTTCCAGAGCAGCTTGCCACAACTCCAGCAGTTTCAGGGCTGGGCGGAGAGGCTGCCTCTTGAGGACCAAGCTCCATCTGTCCCACAGCTCAGTCCTGAGCACTGTGGCCACTGCAGCAAGGATGGAGCTGTGGCTGGTGCCCACGGGCCAGAAGATGTTGCTCTGGAGCGTGCTGAGCGCTGTCTCCCTGGCCGGAGCCGTCCTGATCTTGAACCTTCTGCAGATGCTGGCCAGCTATGTGCAGAAATGGCTGCAGCTCAAGGATGTCCCGACCGTCCGTGGTGGCCTCCCGTTGGTGGGACACGCGCTATGGTTGAAACCGGACCCGAGCGGTAAGGAGCTCTGCCCTGGCCGGGGCCTGGTGGGCTCCCTGGGGTGGCCTCGCCTAGCAGGGAGGCTCTGAGAAGCAGGAGCCCAGCCCCGGTCCCCACTGCCCTCCTGCTGTCTGGTACTCCTGGATCTCCATTACTTGAGCTTCCGGCTGCTGGCAGAGAGAATGTGTTACTGGCTAAAGAACGGACTCTGAACGGACTCCAGTTCTCTCTCTGCAGCTTCTCTGCAGCTTCTAACATGCTGGTGCCTCCATCCAGAAGGGCTTTTTCCCATCTATAACCAGATGCAGCATTTCCAAGCTCCTGTCCTTCTGCTTGTTCCTTTCTCCTTTTCTACCCTGTGGCAAAACTCTGCTTGCCTTCCTATTTTGCCTATTAAACTTTAAGGGCAGAAATTTCCCAGGGACCAAGTCAACAAATACCTTAAATCTCTTTCCTCTCTCATAGGGTTCTTTTGAGGCTCAGCACGCCTCACCCCAAACACACATCACAAGATCTTACAACAACTTTATTCCTCCTTGACCTTCATATTTTAGCCCTTTTAAGGAGGTTACATAATAGCAGCAAGCTGTCTTGACAGGGCAAATCTAATTGACAAATTTCAGTAACTTTATTTACTAAAGAGTGTGGTGGGGTTTGTCTTGTTGTGGAATTATCTTAGGTCTAGTAGAGATTTAGATTTATATTATTTTGTGTTGGTGGGAAAAGTGACTTTCAGCTAGAAAGCACCCAGGAACACCAGGTATTTGCAATCCCCTTTTAGGGAGAGTAAGTTAGATTTAGCACTTTATTTTCATAAATGTTTAGGTTGAGATTTACCCAGAGTGGAAAAGATTGGTCCACAATGACTATTGTGAAAAACAAAACAAAACAAAACAAAAAAGCCCAGGCCCAGATCCCAATCCGCCCTCAGATTCATTCTTAAGAGTAGTTTTTCTGCTCATTGACTCTAAAACTTCAACGACTATTTTACATTCTGCTCCCTCAAGTACATAGACACTAGAATTTTATCTTCATGGTTATATGATGAATCCTCATGGGATAGTTTTATAAACTAATGAAAATGTTTTGTGGCAGAAGAAATTCAACCATCAGTATGAGTAATGTTGCCAGAGATCCCACAAGATGTTTAAAGATTTATTTATTTATGCATAAAGAACTGGGGTACATGCCAGAGATGTGGGGAGAGGGGTGGGGGTGACAGGACTCATCAGAGACAGAGTGGGGAGCAGAACAGGCAGATCTATTGAAATACACTGCTGAGGGGAGCCTTAGGTGACACAGGAGAAGTCTGCTGTGCCATGTGGATCACTTTTTTGGCCAGGGATCGAACTCATGCTGCAGTGGCTGCGGACAGCTTCAAACTGCTGTGCTTTAACTCCTTGTGCCACCAGGGAGGCCCCCCCAAGAGGTTTATAGATGTGAATATCACCTTTAAAATAATCTTGGTTCATAGTAGAAACAGAGCTAACCTTCCCTTCTACACTAAGGCTTTAAGTGCAGAAATATAGCTCCCCACATGAAACCACATAATTAAGAAATCTCATCAAATTCTTTCAGGAAAATTTTCTACAATTTGAGTCCCCAATGAGTAAGACTAGTTTCAAAACAAAATGTGTTGATAGGAGTAATTAAAGTATTCTCCTCGGTGAACTGAATGACAATATACTGTTTCTTACAAAGGGATTTATTACATCTTCAGTTCACTTACTTATATATATGTAGTTAAGGTGGCACTGGTTTACAGTATTGTATATGACTTAGGGCAGTAGGTTGCACCTCCCTGGACATATGCCACCACACCGTGTCCAGCACGGTGTAATAAGGATGCCTTGACTCACAGAAAACATTACTCAGTTTCTAGGTTTGCAACAAAATTGCTGGGCTTTGAGACACTGATTTAAAACATGGTGAGAGTTATTTTCCCCTTAATTATAAATGAAACTATTACAAGGTTATTTTAAGGTTGAAATGAATTCTTGTGGTTTCCAAATCACTGCTGAGAACTTGGTTAGGGTAAATTCCATGATTGTCAATCAACATTGATTGAGTTTTTGTACAGTATCCAGAATAAAACTCATCAGAGTCGTGACTATCAGACTATTCTGAATATTTTCTCTGTTCTCAGTCACGTAAAAGTTGTCTCAGTCATTACAAGAGTCTGTGCATGACTTAGTGAGGGTGGTACAAATTCTAGCCTGGTAAACCCATCTGGAGTGTTGCTGTTGATTTCTCACTGACCTCTCAAATTCGAATTTTTTGCTTATCTGGTCTATTATGTCAACACCAGCCTTTCCCAGGTGTTCCCTGCTATTGGGACCTGATACCTTCACACCACAGCTTGAGACATCCTGTCTCCTCTGTGAGACCAGACCAAGGAGACATCACTCTAGCAGGAAGGAAGCTTGGTTTGACCAAGCTTTCCTCACAGCAATTTTGACCACTATTTTGACTGGAAGACATTTTAAAGCAGTATGGTCTAATGGTTAAAATGGATCTTTCTGGAGTCACACTCCCTTGGGTTTGCAATGCAGCGTGACAAGCTAGAACTGACATCAGTGGCCAAGGAATGAAACCACCACAAGGCACCCAACAGCAAGCAAGCTGAGAAGTATATTTAAAGAGAACAGACCAGCTCCTGCCTTTGGCAAGCTGGCCTGAGGAGATTTATACAGGGACAGGAAAAGAAACTGACCAGCTCTCACACAGGAGGGGTCTGGAAAATGGTTTTTTGGGGTGAATACAGCGCCAGATTCACTGTTGCTGGAGAACAGCAACAGTGGTTGTGCAATTTCTCGATTGCTTGTTTGGAACCTATGTCTTAATACAGACACACTGGGGGGGGGGGTTTCAATGTGGTTTTTCTTCCCTGTTACTGACTTGGTCCCTCCTGTTATGTCTGCAGGGTACCAGCCACTATCTGTATGTCAAGGTCTAACTCCTTAGGCTCAAAGCCAGTTTCTACTACTCACTAGCTCTATGCATGAACAAGCTAATTGTGTAGAATTTCCTCAACTATGTAATGACAATAATAATAATAATGACCTTCATCTAACTGTGGTGAAGCATAAAAAGATATAATGCACATAATACCCTAGTACTAGCCTTACCTACAATAACCTGCACCAGCATGTAACTAAAATGAATGTTATATTTTTAGGACAATTATGTTAGGTTTTGATGCAAAATGTACAAACACTTTGTTCAAAATCACTGTTATTTAGTAGTATACACAGTGGACGTCTCTGAGCCTTTTCTTACAGGACTTTGAACAGCTTATCCTGAAGACTAGGGGTGGCTTGGAGCTTAGGGATGGTGGAGCAGCAGGGATAGGCTGACCATGTGCACATTTATTGGCAATAAAACAGTTTAATTGGTTTGTTTTTGTATGCCATGCACTTTAGTCCCTGGTGCCCAAATTGCCATGTGCTACATCTCTGTTGAAATCCCAAGTGCATCTCAGTGGTGTCATAGTGGGGTCAGGGTATGTCCAGATGTGTTATTTGGGCATTGCTTTGCTCAGAAAGATTTTGGTACCTCATATACACGATGGAATACTACTCAGCAATCAAAAAGATAAACTCATGCCTTTTGCAGCAGCATGGATGGAGCTGGAAGGGATCATGCTTAGTGAAATATGCCAGAAAGAAAAAGAAAAGTACCAGATGGTTTCACTCATAGCAGGAGCATAAAGGACCAGAGGGAGAAAAATAATAATAATGAACAAATATATACCAGAGACATTTATCTCCATTTAAATGGAGTGTGGAGTGGGGAATGGGATCAAAAATGGGGAGTGGGGAGGGAAATTCATTGGTCTATGGTGATGGCACACAGGTAATATGGTGATGGGAAGCCCATGGGGATTACAACTGAGATGGAAAAAGGCACAAAATGATGTAAAAATAAACTATTACATATTTTAAAAAGGAATAATAAATAAACTGCAGCCAGAGGAGAGAATATTATCAGGAAATAAGTGAGATTAGGTCCACAGTACTATCCAGTTAGGACTGTGCTGGATAACTGTCAGTCCTTTAAAAAAAAAAAGTCCTGGTACCCACACGCCCACGAGGCCTGCCCTGCCCTCCCCTCCCTACCTGGCCTTTCGAGCTGTGTAGTGAGGACCCCGTTCCCCACCGGACTCAATCCCCCTTTGTCCTCACCTTGTTTGAGGAGCATTAAGACAACCTGTCTAACCTTTGCCAGCTCTCTGCTGAGGCCCGGGCCTGAGTCCTCATCCTTCAGTCACTGGGTACTGTGGTGTGTTTCTAGCAAGCAGGTGGCGTTCACCAGTGGGCAGCTCCTTGATGGACACTTTTGTCCCTGAATGACTTCTCCCAATGCTGCTGCATTTCCCAGCTGGGAACTCCTGGGGATCAGCCTGCAGAGTGCTGGCACCCCAGTCTCTCACAGCCCTTGCATGCTGTTGTGGGGACGATGGTCCCCAGCTCCCCATGCCCCGTATGAGGGCAGCATGAAGCAGGCTCAGGGTCCCGAGCCCAGGCGCATCAGATCTCGCCCTTTTTTTATACCCTTTAGTCCCAACATATCTAAATTATTCTCTGACCTCACGCACATTGGTCTTACTGCCCTAAAATAAGCCCCAGTTACTCCTCATCAGGTACTTCCTGTTACTCCTCATCAGGTACTTCCTATTACTCCCAGATTCTGTTCTAGAAAATCAAATGTCCATGCCTCCAACACTCCACTCTCATCTCCTAGTATTCTGCTTATGCTATGCCTTGGCTGGACATACATGGAATTTTCTATGTCTCTCTGTCTCTGATACTGTTTCAGCTGCTTGATTTCTGTTCCCTCTCCCACCTTCACTTATTTTCCTACCTATAAAAATTCAACTTATTTTTTCGTGCTCAAATACCATCTACTTCATGGTGTTTCCTATCTTCTCAGTCAGTGTCATTTACTCCTCAGCTTAACCTTCTGTTCTAGCACCCACTTCTTTCCCTCTGGTATTGTGGTTTGATGTGGAAGTGACCCCTATTAGTTCCTGGATGAGGGGTTGGTTGTTTGGAGGCACATATTCGACGCTTGAGGACTGCGTGTATGAGCCACTAAAATACTTTCAGCTTCTTCTCACTTTGGATTTGTCATAAAAAATTGACCTCATTGGGGCCCACCCTGGTGGAGCAAAGGGTTAAAGCACAGCACTATGAAGCTATCACAGGACTGCAGCATGAGTACCATCCCCGGTCAGGGGGTGGCCCACATGGCGTGGCAGACCTCTCCTGCCTCACCCCTGCTCCCCTCAGCAGTGTACTTCATCAGTCTGCCTGTCCTGCTCCCCACTCTGTGTCTGGTGAATCCTCTCACCGCCCCTGCACCTCTGGCCTGTACCCCAGCTCTGTATGCATAAATAAATACATCTTAAAAAAAAAAAAGAATGTAAGATCTGGAGACAGTGACTTCCCCACAGTTAAAAATAAATACCCCAAAAGATACTTTTAGGGATCTATTACAAAATTTGTCATCTTGGCTGACATCATTACTGTTGATTAATTTTTTTAAAAAAATTATTTATTTACTCATACAGAACTGGGGTACAGGCCAGAGATGTGGAGGGTGAGAGGATTCACCAGAGACAGAGTGGGGAGCAGAACAGGCAGATAAATGAAGTACACTGCTGAGGAGAGCAGCAGGCAGGTCAGGAGAGGTCTGCCACGCCATGTGAATCTCCTCTAGGGCAGGCAGGGATCGAACTCATGTGGAATTGGCTTAAGCTTCTTAGTGCAGTGCTTTAACCCACTGCGCCACCAGGGAGGGCCCTGCTGATTAATTTTTTTGTTGTTGTTCTAGAATTCTTTCAGCAGTTAGTTGACTATGCGGAAGAATTCCGACACATGCCACTGGTCAAATTCTGGCTTGGGCCAGTGCCAATGGTGGCCCTTTATAAAGCAGAAAATGTGGAGGTGAGTCCGGGACAGGTATGATCACGATTTCCCTCTGTACCTGATGGTGAGAGGAGAAGCAGTATAGTGACTGTGTCCACCTATTCTGAGCATGCGCTGACTGCAGAATAGCTGGGCAGGGACATTCGTGGCTTTGCGTGGACTGTGAGTCCCAGCGAGGATTAGCCTCTAGTTATCAGTTCACACTGGGTGTCAGGTGCCAATTTGCTCACTTCCCTTTTGGAATGTCTGCAGAAGACGACGTTTTATAAAGCCATTTCAGATTCCATAGGGTCGCATATGTTATTTGCCAGGCACTAACATAAAAATGACACATACTAATTAAGTATGAGAGTTTCTCTGACGGGGCTCACAGTCTCATACTATATTCATTATAAAAGTAATGTTCCAAATTAATACTCCTAAAAGAGAATGCTAAACTGATATGAGTAGGACAGATAGAGATACTCCATGTGAATAAAATTAATCCTCAAAAAGGATGTATACTTAAAAAAAAAGGATGTTATAAATGTTACTTATTATGGGATACTGGTGAAATAAGTTATCTTGTGGCTTGATTTAAAAAAAGGACTTGGGTCATAGTAAAAGCGAAATAAACAGTTTCTCTTTATGGAAAAAATTAAAAATGGAAATTTTCAGGGACTAGTGCTAATACATTAGTTACTGTGGTGAAAATGTTGGAGTTTCTCGTATAGCATAACTGGACCCTGGTTAGTGTGGATATGAGTGCATGAGAGAGACCTATGACCTAGGGTACACAGGCTAGGGATAGGTGACAGAGTTTTGTCTAGGTAAAGGAATCCAGCTCAGATGCCAACGTTCATCCGCTAAACGCTCTACATTTTGCCAACAGATGACCTAGGGTAACCTGTCCCCTGGAGACACTCAAATGCATAACTGTAGCTCAAACTTTTACATTGAGCTTCATGCCTGCTTATAGACAACGCTAAATTCAACATCTGAAAATGACCTTGTCATTCTCATCTCCCTATTGGTAGTCAATCTCTGGATACACCTACCCACAGTCCCCTCCCAGCCCACTTATTTAATACATAATAGCTCTTCTAGATCCTAGGTCATTACAGGAAACTAGGGATCATCTTGGACAATTTTACTTTCTCTCAACTCCTTTTAGTCTTTGAAGTTTTTGATAGTTGTGGATCCAAATCTCTAATAGAATTTCTTTCAGGAAGGGAAATGAAACTAAATCACAGAGAAATAGTGGTTATCCAATGTTGTTTTAAGTAGGTATGTTCTAGGAAGATATCCTTATCTCTGAGACTGTTTTGATATCTACATATGTCTCAAATATTTTTTTCTCTTTCTAAGGTAATTTTAACTAGTTCAAGACAAATTGACAAGTCCTATCTGTACGATTTTTTAGCACCATGGCTTGGCCTAGGACTTCTGACAAGGTAGGTCATTGTCAATCTGTAAGGCTGTTTGAAGAAAGAGTTGTTTCAATGGAGAACTTGATAGACTAAAAATTAACACAAGGTTTTTCTGTAACCAGGTTGTGCTGTCAGGAAGTAGGGTAGAAGCTAGAAGGAATGGTCTGGCTATTTATGGACCTTTGACAATTAGGAGTCTAGGTACATGGTGATGTTCAGCCGCCATCTTCAGTAATGATCACCAGCTTACAAAAGAGAATCAGGAGGCCCCCATGAATGACCAGAGTGAAGGAAAGGAGAGTTTGGAGCAGGAAAACTTGAAAAGCAAAATGAAAAAGACAGTCTTAGAGAAGAATAATGAGAGCAGTAACCCCAATTCATGAGCTTGCATGCAGGTTGGGACCCCATGCTCTGTGAGAGGGCCTACCTAGGAAGACAAAGGAGGGGACTTCCATTGTGGGGATCTCAGAAAACTCACCATGGAGTTAAAGCAGCATCAGTGGCAGGCACATCATCAGAAATTAAGGAATCAATTCTAATTTAGACTCTCAGAATTTAGAAATTGAAAACTTAAGAATTTTGATTCTTGCAACTGCCCATTCACACACTAGTAATATAGAACAATATCTAAAATATCTATATTTCATACACATCTATGAACCTCTTTGTATTTTTAACTTAAGCTTTTGAGAATATGTAAACTCAGTGATTTCAAGGGATTTTTTTTTTTTTTTTTTTTTTTTTGCCGACATGACTATGTTTCTACTCGATTGATGCTTCTCTTTTATTTGTCACTGTGCATTGTTTTCTAGTACTGGGAACAAATGGCGTGCTCGCAGAAAAATGTTAACCCCCACTTTCCATTTTACAATTCTGGAGAACTTCTTAGATGTCATGAACGAACAAGCAAATATATTGGTTAATAAGCTTGAGAGACATGTGAACCAGGAAGCGTTTAACTGCTTCCCTTACATCACGCTGTGTGCCTTAGATATCATCTGTGGTGAGTCTCGCTAGTGTAAAGACAATGTGACAAGTGGAAAAAGCCTACAGTTCAGGGACAGGCGCAGGGGTGGAGAAGACACTGGATTCTGCAGCGTGGTCCTACTGCTGAGTCTATGCCGGAGACTGCAGCCATGCCCAGGGCTGAGGGCAGAAGGGCCCAGAGCCCACCTGCCGGGGGAGCAGAGAAGAGAGAGCAGGAGCAGGGGCAGCAGGGGCAGGGGCGTGGGGGGAGGGGCCTGCCACAGTCCATAAGAACCAAACTGACTTATGTCTTTTTTGGGTCAAGCATCTGCCTCTGGAGAAGAAACACAAGAAACGTGCAGGGATTGAATGTTTGTTTCTCACCGTATTTTACAGAAACTGCTATGGGGAAGAATATTGGTGCCCAAAGCAATGATGATTCCGAGTATGTCCGAGCTATTTATAGGTAAATGGAAGGCTTTTTATGTTTATTTAAATTGTTCGTGATTAAGGCTTTAAAATGGTTGTTATTTTGTGAATTCTGTTTGTGTTTTTCATTGTCCCTTTATGGACATTATACTACAAATTAACTAATTATTTGAGCATGAGTTTCAACAATAGAGGAATGGTATATAATCTATGACAACTCAGATTACACAGTAGTTTTCCAATTTTAATGATTTGACAATCATTTAAACAATGTGCCTTCAACAGTAATTCTGAATGATAATTTTTAAGAGATGGAATGATTACATTGTGATACTAATTGATAGCAAGAGATAAACATTTCTTAGAGTCTGCTACACACTAAATTTAAAAAATATTCATGGAAAGAAAAAATTAGATAATACTATATGGTCTTTGGTATTGTTTCTCTTTCTTATTGAGTATTATACTTGTTTGTATTCACCTGTCCCATATTTTTCTATACTATATATTAGTTTTTATTTGAAATAATTTATTTTACTATTAAAATTGCTTATCATTATTCAGTTATTGAGAGGTAAAATTTAATATGTTCCATCACCAAGTTCACTGCTCATTTCATCTTAAATTATGAATAATTATTGAGCTCCCTTGATCTCCCATTTATTGCACAAGGTACTGACTAATGTTATCATGGCACACAACAGACAGAATAGCCTGGACGACAGGTACTGAAAGAAAAAGAAACTCATAAATTAGAATAAATGGTTAAATGGAAAGATCAGTTTGACATCAGAGGAAAATAGATAGCCATATTGAGTGACCAAGGAAGGCGACCCTAAAGAATGAGCATCTCATTCTTTCATGAAAGGCAAGACATGGGTCTTCCTACTCCATCATTGGAAATGATGAGAGCTGTGCTTGGGCAGCCATGTGGCAGATGGGCACTTACCACTTACTTTCCTGTAGAATAAGGCAGCCAATTCTTTTCCATCATTGTGGAGGCATGATCAAGCCAATGAGTCGACACTAAAAAGAGATAGGTCACATCTTAACAGGTGAAGCAAGAGCCACAGCAGCCTTAGGAGGTCAGAATTCTCCAGAGAAACAGAGGCAGTGATCGGATGGTTATCTAGGAAGGCTGTTTTGTAAGATTCCTTAATCATCTAAAAACTTATTAAAAATTTAAACTTCACTGGGTGTATAATATTCCATTCCTTCACTGATGAGTGTAAATCATGAAGCTCTTAGTTACTTTTTGGAAAAATCATCACCACCAACCTATATTGCCCCCATTGAAACCAGGCACCAAATACGTGCCCAAGAAATACAGAGTAGACATGTCAGCTGATATGCTTCTGTCCTGTTATAGAATGAGTGATATCTTACTTCGAAGAATGAAGAGGCCCTGGCTCTGGCTTGATCAAATATTCCTTATGTTTAAAGATGGAAAGGAGCATAAAAGGAGCCTAATGATTCTACATAATTTTACCAACAATGTAAGTCCCCATAGTGGTCAAATATTCATAATAGAAATCTGAACTTTATTCCTCTTCTAGAGAGACACTTGGATGTTATAAAGTACATCCTCAGTATTGTGCAACCACTGTCCACCTCTAGTACTTTTAGAAGGTCATGATTTTTTTTTAAAGATTTATTTATTTATGCATACAGAACTGGGGTACAGGCCAGAGGTGCAGGGGCAGTGAGAGGCTTCTCCAGGGACAGAGTGGGGAGCAGAACAGACAGATCGAGGAAGTACACTGCTGAGGGGAGCAGTGGGTGGTCAGAAGAGGTCTGCCGTGCCATGTGGGTCACTTCTGGGGAGCTGAGTAGGTGGTCGGACTCTTGCTGAAGTGGCTTTAGCTTTTTTAGTGCTGTGCTTTAACCCACTGTACCACCAGGGAGGGCCAAGTTCACGATTTTTATTATTTGTTAATATACCCAGTGTAGGACTATCACTAATGGAATGCAATAAGCAACATAACTTTGCCTATATAGTCAGCAGATAGGCTAGCACTTGTGAGATCCCAAACACTGAGCAGAGACCTGGAGGGTGAAGGGAACCACTGTGCCTGCATCTCAGTGCACAGCCCTGCAGACAGAGGTACAGCAGGCACTCAGGGTGAGCTGATGAGTCAACTTCCCACTTTATTTGCTCTAAATGTAGCATGTAACTAAAGGGACCTACAGTTAGTCTATTGGATGTTGCATTCTTCCCACCACCTAAACGCTTTATCTTTAGCTCCATCAAATCTATAGGCTCATGTCAAGTAGACCGTGATTCTATTTTGGTTTAGGAAAAACTAAAAATTGCACTTGAAGGTTATGCATTTGCCTGACATTAAATTTCAAAAGCCTTATTGAATAATGTTCTAAAGTAGCAACAGGAGGCTTTCCTTTATATTCGCAAGAGCCAAGTTATTGTTGAGATAAAAATGATAGGAAGAGTTTAAGCAAAGAACCAAGTATATTTTGATGAGCAAATATGTTAACATCAATTCCAGACAAAGCATGTTATTGTTTATATCACACAGGTCATCGCTGAGAAGGCCAGTGAGATGAAGAAGGATGAAGAAAGGTCAAGTGACCACAAGGGAGCTGCCTCAAAGAATAAGCGCAGGGCTTTTCTTGACTTGCTTTTAAATGTAACTGATGACCAAGGGAACAAGCTAAGTCATGAAGATATTCGAGAAGAAGTTGACACCTTCATGTTTGAGGTATTGCATAGTATATTATTTTCAGGCATCATGAACTAATTGTAGATTCATTTAGAACATTTAATGTTATTTTTGAAAATTTAATCAAAATTTAATAGTAGCGTAATCTCCCTGAGAAAGTCATTATATTATAATTAGAAACTATAAAATTTGAGAACGTCATTAAATAGCAGATCAATTTCCCTCTTAGAAAAAGATTTTGACTTGCGGTGGGTACAGCAGTGGCCACATTTTGTTTCCTGGAGAATAGCTTAGCCTTATTGAATGTTTCTGTTTTCTGGCTGTTTAGAACAGTTAGAAATCACTTGCAGTTATTTACACTGTTCGTGCTTCCCTTTAAAAAAAAAAAATAATATTTATTTATGCATCCAAGAACTGAGGTGTAGGCCAGAGGTGCCAGATTTGGGGTGTGTGTGAGAGGATTCATCAGAGACAGCATGGGGAGCAGAACAGGTGAATCTAATAAAATACACTGCTGAGGGTAGCAGTGGGCAAGACAGGAGAGGTCTGCTGCTCCATGTGGGTCAGCTCCTGGTCGGGGATCGAACTTCTGCTGCAGTGGCTGCTGATATCTTCATAGTCTGAGACTTAAGCCCTTGTGCCTCTAGGGAGTTTCATGCTTCTTTTTAATCTCTTAAACTCACAGATCTCTTTCCTTACTCCTTTACTTTTCTTCACTGTTCTAGCAAATGAGCTAATCCCAGTCCCCTGGCAGAAAGGGTAGAAGGGCCCTGAAGGGTTCTATCCCTACCTCTTCTTTCTAGTAAATCATCAAACTCTGGAGAAGTTATTTAACATTTTTTCATTGGTTTAATCTCTAAAATATGATCCCCAGTATCAACCGTTTTGTGGGTTTTTTTTTTTTTTTGAAGTAAAGTGAGTTGGTTTCTACAAAATACTTCATATTTCCCCTGAAAGTCAGCAGGTATTAAATGAGGCCACTTACCAACATGTCAGGAGGAGAACTGGGACCCAGATAGTTGGCTGATGTCCAGCGTCAACAGATCAAAACTACCTTATAAATGGAGAAGGTGGAGACATTCAGATCTGGCAAATTGACTGAGGAAAATCAGAATTTATTTCCCTTAAAAACTGTCTAACCCATGAGTTCTTTGGAAGTCCCGTTATGAAAACTTGTGGCAACTCTGTGCAGCATGAAAGTGTGAACATCCACCTTGAGGGGACTGATTATTTTTCTTTGTGTCTCACTGCAGTGGCGCTCTATAGAGTTGCTGTACTATGGTCTACAGTCACATTGCATTTGTGAATTCAAAGTGGAGTTAGTTACTAGCCTTCTCAGAGATAGCTCTGTTTTTAAATTATATTTTCCTTCCATTTGTAGGGCCATGATACAACTGCAGCTGCAATGAACTGGTCCTTGTATCTGCTGGGCTCTTACCCAGAAGTCCAGAGAGAAGTGCACAAGGAGCTGGAGGCAGTGTTTGGTATGGCGGGCCCTTCCTCGGCACAGTCGGTCGGAGGCCGCTGAGTCAGCGCTGTTCTCCTCAGCGGGATGTGCAGAGGGTCCTGCTCTAAAGATGCTGCGATGGCAGAGACCCCACGGGGACCCCCCCCCCGCCTGTGCCCTCTGTCTCCCGCACACACTTACAGGCCTTGGCTTATGACCCCATCCCTCAAACCCCTATGCTGTCATATTTGTTCATTCACAATGTTGTGCAACACCACCCCTACCTCATTCCAAACATTTCAGCACCCCTGTGCCATTAATCAGCCACTTCCCAAGCCCCTCTTGCTCAACACAGAGAAACCACTAATTTTCCTTCAGCTTCCACTGAATTATGTATTCTGACTGCTTCACAACACGTGACCATTTGTGTCTGGTTTCTTTTGTTTAGCATATTGTCTCATTTTATTTTGACTGTGTAGAATATTAGAAGTTCTAGTTAATCTGTAGCTATTTAGCATTCAGTGATTTGATTAAGGTCTTCTACTCTGACAGTCCAGCTCCCAAGCCCAGCCCATCTCTTTCATTGTCATCTCTTATATTTCCTTAAATCAGGAAGGTCTGAGCGTCCTGCTACCTCAGAGGACCTGAAGAAACTTAAATATCTGGAATGTGTCATTAAGGAGACCCTTCGCCTTTTCCCTTCTGTGCCTCTATTTGCCAGACACCTTAATGAAGATTGTGAATTTGGTATGTGTTACGTAACAGAACAGTAGGGAGAAGGATGCTTATATGACTGTCTTGCTTCAGTCTTACAGAACACAGTGACTTTTTTTTTTTTTTTTGACAGCGGGCTACAGAATCGTGAAAGACTCTCAAGTAGTTGTCTTTACTTATGCACTGCACAGAGACCCCCGCTACTTCCCAGACCCTGAGGAATTCAAGCCAGAAAGGTTCTTCCCCGAGAACGCCCAGGGACGCCACCCGTATGCATTCGTGCCTTTCTCTGCTGGGCCCAGAAACTGTATAGGTTTGTGTCCTCCCAGTTGGTTTAACCTTTTAGGATGTGGGCAGAGGGTTTCTCACAGCAATTTCTTTGCTGTGTGTTCCTTTGCAGCGCTCTTAAAAATCTGCTTTCCTTTTTCTACATTATATGCATTATTGTTTCTAAGATGTTACTATCATTCACTGTACTAGTTTCCAAAGTACTACACTGGGTGGCTTAAGCAGCAGTAATTACTATCTTCATAGTTTCAGGGAATGAAGCCGAGGGTCACGGTCGTTTCTTCTCTGACTCCCCCCAGCTTGTACATGTTCATCTCCTCTTGTATCTCCGCTTGATCTTTCCTGTGTGTGTCTGTTCCCTAAGCTCTTCTCTGTCTAAGGACATCAGTCACATTAGATTAGGGTCCATGTGTCCAAGTTCATTTTATTTCCCTTTAAAGGTCATATCCCCAAACACAATCACATTCTAAAGTACAGGATGTTAGGACTCCACATGTAGATTTAGGGGGATAGGGAACAGGCAATTCAGTCATAACATAAAAAAAAAATAATAACTTTTGTTATTATTTAAAAAGTGTATATTTTGTGGAAAAACAAAATATAACTTGTATGTTTAAATTTTAATGATTATTTAAGTGACTTTTTGTGGGATTTCTATGAATGGTATTCTACAAACATAAAACAGTGAATACCTGCAGTTAGAATATCATGCAAAAGTATTGCAGCTGAACTACTTAAAAAAAAAAAAAAAAAAAAAA